CTTTCCCATCGTAGTTGGCGTCGAAGAACTTCTTGAACCACTGCACAAATTCAAAGTTGTCCTGGAACTTCCCTTTTACCAGCTTTTCTACAGGAATTATCTGGAGAATGGAAACAGGATGCTTGAATAGCTCTGTGTGATAATGCTAGGAAGTATTATCAAAAGTACTGATGAGTTAATAGAAGGGTACCGACTTTGTCAACACTCATCCGTTTAAAAGCTGCCTGAAGAACTTTGAAGTTGTGTATAAATTCATGCTCCAGCTTGGCTTGAAATTTGACCTTCTTCAGAAGAATACAACCTGGAAACAACATGTCCATGAACTGGCAGTATGCCGCTCCTGGAAAACACAAAGATACAGCTGTTTGTTTTTGTTGTCTTGTTCTGAACAGTTCTTTTGAACAGTATCTAACTGAAACTTTAGCCTTACCTGAACACAGCTGTTCAATCTTGGTGTAGGTGAGATGCAAGGAATCGTTGACCCACGCCAGCATATCATGTCGGCTGAGGTTGTCAATGGACACAGATGTGGCGTACACGTTCACTGCCATCCCCTACCTAAATCAAACAAACAAAAGAAATAGAGTTCAGGAAATTTCTGTCAAAACTTCAACTTACTACAAACGTTTTAACTTATTACCTTTCACAAGACAAAGAATAACAGCAATTTGAAAACTTCAGCAAGGAAATGTGATATTTTTTCATAAACAAATACCTTTAAATGATTAATCATTTACCAAAATAGTTGATATATTTTCCCTAGATTTCTTTATTGAATTAATTTCACTGAATCTAATTCTTGATCTAATTGTCCAGTATTTCTTGTATAGGATACTACTGTATGTAAGTATTTGACCCTATATAATCGATATAAACTGTCACAAATATCTGAAAATATGCTGCTGGTGCCATAGGGGTATCTCATTTTACATTTCCTTTATTGAAGTTTCTAACATTTTTATGCCTCCACAGCTGCGATAGCCAAGGCCGGAGTCATTATACAGTATTTTCAGGTTGTCTGCGTCCATCTGTCAAGCTCACTTTTGTGAACACAATATCTCAGGAACGCCTTGAGAGAATTTCTTAAAATCTGGCACCAGTGGCCACTTGGACTCAAGAATGAACTGCGATTTTGGTGGTCAAAGGTCAAGGTCAGTGACCTCATGTCTGTCCATTCCCTTGAATTTGACTGGTTGGCAGAGGCATAAAACTGTGATGTGATAATTCTAGTTTGATAAACTAAGGTTTAGCGGGGTTAGTTGTTATATCTCTTTTCAGATCAGAGCTCGGCCTAGGTCAGATAATGTTGCAGTTGTGGGAAGCTCACAGAAACCAGCAGCATTGGGCATATGGGAAATAACCTTAATGAATACACTTGATTTTTGACTGTAAACAGTGCCTGAGAAGCAGTTTACGTTTCAATTTTAATCAACACATGAGCATAACCCTCCCTAGAGGAAGGAAAATCCTTATGTGGCTGAGCAGCCTCCCACATCTGGCGGCGCCAGCCTTTCCTCTGCTCACTTTGCTGGCTAGCTAAAACCTTCCAGCGGTGCCATGTCAGAATGGGCTCGTAGCACCTCGACATTCCCTGCAGTAAGAATGCACATTAACACACGCAAGCTAGAGACATTAAAATCTGGTTGTACGGTCACACGCCGCTGTGCGTCTGCAGCTGACAGCCAGAGAGAAGATATCCCTCAGTTTTCACAGTAATAAGTAAATCGCGCTTAACCTAAGTGAAATCTGCACGACAGTGATTTCCGAGGATTGAACAGTAATAATACACCTTAGCAGCGCGCAATACACGAGCATTCTCCAGTGGGGCTTGGCGACCCTACAATTACATGATTATAACCTACAATCATATGACCGACCAGAAACCCGTTTATAAGACAAAACCACGCCGGTTCAGCTACATCACCAGGCGCAGACCTTGCAGTGGGTGTAATTTCTAATAAATACGGATCATTGTGGTCGAACGAAAGGGAAGACAAGTCTATTCTCCTCAAATCTGCCGGGCCTTTGAGGGAGCTCCGGTAATGACTGCAGCAAATTTCTGGGTTGCAAAACGCCGAAGTCGAGCGAGAGCAAATGGGCGGGGGTCTGACATTTCAAGGCTGAGCTGAGAACAATATGTGCGTCCGTTTGCTGGGTGTCTTTCGGTTAAAACCCCGCAACGCTGGTTGTGCTCTCCTAGCGGCCCCCTCTACAGGCCTCCCTGAATGCCTCAGGACTTGACAGTGCACGGGAAATATCCTCAGTGCATGGGAATAAAACAGCTCCTGTGCAAACACGTTTACACCCTCAAAAAGGTGTCTGTGTTGTTATCACGCTGGTAGTATTCCCTATGTCAGTGCTCGTTGCTGTCGTCGTCGGACCCTGCGCGGTGCAGCGCTTGGTAACGGGCCGCCCTGTCTGGGCTGCAACAATCCAGATCCTACCGCGCATGCGCCCGACTCCATGCTGTTAAAGCCTCATTATAAATAGGACTTTGGCCTGTTCTAGCAAAAAGACACACAATGTGTCTGGTTGGATGTTAGACCCGCTGGTGACAAAGGTTTTGGTGAAGTCAGGCTGTACAAAAAGGCGTTAATTATCTGCTAAAATGGTGCTGACAAATCCAGTACTCTGATCCTTTTCTTATGTTAGAGTAGTAAAATAGCATTCATGGCCACATAATGGCTATTTTCATTATCTATTCATCTGATTTCTTGATTAGCTGACAAGAGATCCTAAACAGACTATTTTGTAAGGCGTCTCAAGCCAAAAGTCCAGAAACCACAAGTAGTAGCTATCTGTGTCAAATAATGTCATGGAGTAAATGGCACACTATTTATCTGTGAATGTTCTGAAGATCTGTAATGTGGCAAAAATATAAATAAATACACTGGACGTGATCAAGTAAAGCAAAAATACCAGATACAGAAAACAACTGGGGATTTCATTGTGGTTTATTTGCACTCAAGTCATGTGATAAAGAAAAATATAAAGAGAAGGAATTCAATGTGACAACACATTGTTCAGCACCAGTGTAGATCTGGGAGGGGGAAGGAACAACAAGATTCACTGGAGCATGTGCAGTTTAGATCAGAAGTGAAAACAAACTGATGTAGATGATCTTCTGAACATAACAGGGTCTAATGAACATGATCAGAATCTTGTATGCATCCCTGCTTTCACTGCAGGTTTGATTTTTTTTTTAAATACAGCAAAACCAGGTCAATTATTCACAAGAAAAATTCTATAACAGAAAACAAACAATAAAAATACAATAGTTGAGAACTTGAGAAAGTACCAGTGCTTTTCAGTAGTTGTTAAACAAGCATGCCTTCCAGTTCCAGGTATGCATTCACTGACTAACCAACCATTCACCAACGTGAATGCTTAACTTCTTCTATGCCTCACAGTGGTATGCTACATTGGAAGCATTCATCAGAGGAACATTTTAAACCCTGCCGTTTCAGACCAGAACATATCAGAGCTGTAAAATGCAGCGGCTCTAAAAGAATAACAGCAATCGACATGTCACAGGTCAGGATCTGTAGCAGCAGTGTGGGAAGGAGTGTCAGTGTGGTAAGGTCAGAAAAAGGCAGTTTGGCTGGGACTTGTTGCTCTCTGAGGGAAAACAAACATGATCACAAAGAATGCAGAGCAACATGATCAATATTAGCGCTTCCTACCGTAGGTCTTACTAGGCCACAATACACACAGCACAGGTTCTTTTCTGTGATAAGGCTGTAAACATGATCTGAAATGCTAAACTGACTGATGGACTATGGAAAAAAAGACCTCGTTCTTCTTTAGGAAGTAACTCTAAAGCAGTAGCACAGAAAATGCAATATAAAAAAAATAAATAAACACATTTAAAAGGTTAGCTTACATTATCTTATTTTGTTGTTAAGTTAGTCATTTGCAACATTTTGTCAATGTCATGTGGACACCCTTGCAGTAATTTACTACATTTTATTCACCATGGCTCGCAGTAAAAAAACATTTGTGACAAAATCATGTAAAAAGGCATTTAAATAGTACATGATACAAGTGCAAAATCGTTTTTTACAGTGAGGTAACACAGTCACATCATAAAAACCATGACTCACCTTCATATTCCTACAACTATTAGTAAGATGTTTCTCCTAATGTGATCCAATAGCCAAAGTAATTCATTGGCAACTCATTTTTTATATGCTGCTTATGTTTGGGTAACATTTGACTGTAATCTTGAAGTTGTAATGGCTTAAAAAAGGTTTTCCTTGACCTCTATCCCAATAATTTTGCATACAATTTTGCAATCCTAATTGTCCGTGCTGTGTTCAAAATCAAAATAAGACTCAATTACCCCACGCATATTCTAAGCTTCCAGAGAGAAAACCCAACCATCTTCCTTGGCCATATGTTTCCCTCAGGTATCACTCTTCATGTGACGGCCACCAGACTGGTTACCAGATCCCACTGGATCTCCCTCCAGGGGGAGCAAGGATCCTGGCTGAGGATCTCTTTGGAATGTTATCGTCAAATTGAGCACCTGGAACAACAGAGTCAGGATCACATAGGTTCAGTGGTGAAATGCCAGGAACCAACATTTCCTTGTATTATTCATGTGCAGCTCAATCATCAATATTTTCTTATGGTATTGTAAAGGGTTCTCTAACAACTTATTTTAAACGACTCCAATTGGATTTAAGCAATGCCGTATACTTCAAATGGTCCAAGAAATCCTTCTCATTCAGTTTAAAACTCTATTCAAACCATTTATCATTATTGACAAGGAATTGTGTGTATAGTAAAATAGCTTCTTGACACAAAATCTGATATTCTGCTGTCCAAATAATGGTTATACTGAAACAGAGAAAACTCTGCTATCTTCTGAGGCAAAAATGAATCCCCTGCTGCCAAAGTATTGTGGATTTGATGCCAAAAAAAAGATTATTATCACAGCTTTCTACCTTCTCTAATTAAATGTGTAAATGTAAAGAATATAACTTAAACGGAGGATGGTGTAAACTTTCTATATTTCGGTATGGCAAAGCAATTTGTTTCATTCTCTCATCCTGCACAACTAATGTAGTTACTTTAACTATAGTACTCTCACCAGGCCAGTCTTTGGATTTTTTTAATGTCCGGAACAGAAGTAAACAGGCATTTCTTCATATTTCTGATTCTTGTTTGAATCTGTTGTTTCTCACCAGACAGGCTGAAGCTGGACTCATGGAGGTCCCTCATGCCTCCGTGCCTGGTGCTGGGGCGTGTCGGAGTGTCCAGATCCGAAGACCCAAAGTCCCTCTTTCCTGAATTGACCACCGCAACAACGTCACCTGTGTAGGGCTCCCGCTCCACGGCTTTCACTGCCTGGCACTGGTGGGCCAACATGGCATCACACATACACACATGTACCATAAGATCACTGAACATGTCAAAACTAAAAACCTGTAGTGGTAAATGTCCCTAAAAACTATGTCTTGGAAGAAACATGCTGTGAGCTAGCTGTAGTAGTGAATGGCAGTTTTTCATATTATTAACAGCAGGGTAGTACAAAAGTATGTCAGTAACATTAGATTACCATAGCTATACTGTATATATAGCCGCGTATATATAGCCGCACTGAGAGGACAAAAGTGACATCTAGATTTTAATTGTTTCAGTATCAACACTGCATATCCTACTGACCAATTCGCACCAGTTCAGTGATGCTTTCAGAAGTGGTGACAGTCCATTACAAAGGCAGAGGTCAATTTAAAATGGAAAAGAAACTTAAATAAAACTTTAATGGTGTATCCTCCTGATTTTATCATACCATCCTAATATTACCATAATAAAAGATGAGATATTGGGTTTAGAAAAACAATTACTTACCAAGCTACTAGATAATAAAAACAAGGATAATAATTGGTTCCTTTTGACCTTGAAGCCTCAATCCTAATGTGTAGTAGCAGGATTAGTAGTACTAATAGTGGTTAGTGCTACAGTACAGAAGTATCTCTATTAGTGGTAGTAAGCTACTAATCTAGGAGTACGGGTAGTAGTAATTGCAGTAAAAGTAGTAGTAGCGGCAGTAGATTTATTAGTAATGAAAGCGATAATAGTAATAACAGTATCACTGGTAACAGTAATAGTAGTAGTACTAGAACTACCACAACAGTGGTAGTAGTAATAGTATTAGTACCTGTAGCAATAATAGCAGGCACTGTAGCAGTATGTGTTAAAGTACTGTGATAAAGTGTAGTGTTTCTTGTCTATAGCAAACCTGTATACAATTCAGTATTAAGTGCAGAGGAAAACTATATAAGAACAGCTGTCACAAATTGAAAGTATCATTTACTGTATATAATATTTTATGGATGGCAGCTGTTATCACAAAGTTGGTATTACTGTAACTAATAGTAAGCAGCTGTATGCCAATACTTAATGTGGATTTTAAGCCCCCTGTCAGACTGATTCTGTACCTTCTCCCTCTGAACCATCTTCTTGTAGAGGTAATCTGGGAATGTTCTCATTGGGAAGAACTTTCCAGAGCCCTCGGCACACGTGAACATGTCGTTTTCATAGACCAGACGCCCACGGCTAATGGTGACCAGGGGGACTCCATGGCAACGGAGGCCTTCATACAAGTTTATATCTCCACCCTGGACCTGGTTATCCACAGAGATGGTCCTGCAGAGAGAGATTAAAGAGAGAGATCACCCAGTTCAGCTACATAAAAACCTAATCAGCCTGTGAGATATGTGATGAAAGCTGCAATGAGACGCGCTTGGTCGATGAAGGGGCAGATCAAGTTTCATACTTGGATCCCTCGGGGTCCCAGACCACCACATCAGCATCTGCTCCAGGGATGATCCTGCCTTTCCTGGGGTAGAGGTTGTAGATCTTGGCTGCATTTGAGCTTGTGACTGCTACAAAGCGATTCTCATCCATCTTCCCTCCAATCTGTGAATTATAACAAGCATATAAATATACTGGGAGTCTCTGGGATACATTTCTACACAAAGTTTGACTGAGGCAGCTGATGCCCCAAAAGCAAGAGCAGATGTCTCTCTCTTTTTTTTTTTTTACATTCAAATCAATAACAAACAAACCAAAACTGATGTCCTATTTGTGGGAGTTCTCTGGCAGACAGACAGGAGTAAAAGAGCTACACATACCACTCCTTTCTCCCAGATGACACTCATGCGATCCTGGATACCCGGAAGCCCATGGGGGATCTTTGTGAAATCATCCTTGCCCATTGCTTTTTGTTTGATGGTGAATGGGCGGTGGTCGGATCCCACAACATTCAGAGTGTCACTGCAGGCGCAACACAGTCAAACAGATGGTCACATTTAGTCTTTACAGCTGTGTACATTCCCATTATATTGCATTTAATGTGAGATTTTATAGGCTATTTCTTACTTCCCCAACAGGCTCATTAGGTAATTTGGAGTATTGGGGTCCAGGCGGAGAGGAGGCACAGTAACGTGGGCAGCAGCATGGGCCCAATCCTGATGGTAGTACTGCATACCATTCAGCACTGCATGGGCTGTAGTTGTTTCCCCATGGACCACCTTACCTGTGGTCAGACGGACAATATGGACACTGGATCAAATGTCAGCTACAACAGTGTTGCAATAGATTAAGCAAGCAAACCTCGGCTCATCCAAAGATGAGGAGTATCACTCGAGAGCTCTGGGAAAGGATGCCTGTGGTTACTTCCTAAAGACAGACAATTCTAACAGGAAAAGTATTTGTTTATTTATTTATTCCAAGCATATAATAAAACAGATAAGGGAAAAGAAATCATGATCAATATATACCTCAAAACAACCAGAAAAAAAAACAAAAAAAAGAGAAAAAAAATGTCTCATGATGATAAATGATCATTACATGCTTGCAGAGTAGAAAGAAGTAATACTTATCTAGTTCTACTCCTGATAATCCAAACTATGATCAACCCAACTCAATCTGTTAAACTGAACAGCTACACTGGTTAAATTCCCACGGCCCCGAATCACTGCATTCCTTCTAGCCAGAAATCACAATTACGCAATGTCGGAAGTCTGCCACTTCCTCATCGGGTTTCAGATGATGGAAAGAATATTCAGTCACAAAACACCACAAAATACCAAAGTGCACTTAATTAATAATTACCTTTTATTCACAGATGCGCATCTGGAGATCACAGGCAGCAGCAGCCAAGATCTGATCTGATCTTTCTAACATTGTGT